CATTGTTGGTTTTATGGATGCTGACTGCAGCAGAACTTCCAAATGCAACAGGCAGGTAACAGTGTACTCATATGACAGGTTTAGTGCATAGTAAAACAAAACAAAGAACTGTGTATTCTGGAGATCTGAAACAAACAAAAACAGAAATTGCTGGAGAAACTCAGAGGGCTGACAGCATGTGTGGAGAGAAAACAGAATTAATGTTTTGAGTTCAGTGACTCTTCTTGATACATACAAACTGCTGCTAAAGTGGTGGAGTATAAGTGAGTGTTCAAACTCCAAGGGATCATAAAGCAAAACACTGTTTACGGTGGTGAGAAAGGAATAAGGTAGAAAGGCTTTTGTTTATGAAATGTTTCTTTACAACCCCTGAACTCTTAAACCATTTTACAAAGTGTTGCTGCTATTGTCACAACAACCAATCGTCTGACAGCAAACTTTCACAATGTTATTTGTTTTTGTGTTGTTGATTGAACGATGTTTTTTGGACAAGTCACAGTGGTTAGCTCCCCTGCTCTTCTTCGAAACAGTGCACTAGGATATTTTACATATCTCCAAACAGACAATGAGATATTGTTTTAACATCTCATCTGAAAGACTGCATCATTGCCAGTGCATCACTTCCTCAGTATTGCACAGGCACGCCAGTCTTAATTTTTGTCCTCAGACACTTGAGTGCTAACAGCAGTGAATACTACTGAAGTCAGGACCTGTATTTACATATATTCTTCAGATAATGAGGAAGGGTCACTGGACTCGAAATGTTAACTCTAATTTATTAAGTGCTGTTTTGATGAAAAGCTAAACTATTTTCCACCAGCACTGAAATTGCATTTACTCCAAATTGAACTTCAGAGAAGAGTGACTAGAACTGTTTGGAGAAATGTAATTGTACTTAAGCATTTTGGCAGATTTGTTGTGGTCATCTGACTTTGACCTCTACTCTAAATATCTATGCAGCTATCAAACACACATTGCTTAAAATGTGTGGACTTTCAGGGCTGTAAGAGAACGAGCTACTGAAAGACATAACATGGAAGAAGTAAATTAAATTAGAAGTCTGCAGCTTTGAATTACTGGGTGAGTCAAAATAGCTATGCATTTTCCACTTACTACAGCTGTGGAAATGAAGGGAGGTATGAGACAGCATTGGAATTTTTTCCATGCTTAGTGGCAAAATTATGAAATTGCTGATCTTATCAAAGTTAAGAAAGTCCTTGACATGAGAGATCCTGCTATGAGTGCACATCTGCTGAAAACAAAGAAAGTTACTCTCAAAAAAGCTTTCAAAATGTGGAGACTTTCTGAGGTGGTAATCTTTAGTTAGTGCATGTTATTGAGAGAACAGATGAGGCATTATGCTAAGAGACAATCCAAAGAAACATGTTTAAAAGAGAGAATAGATATTTACTTTGGCAGCACATATACTAAAATTAGAACAATGCAGGATGATATGCAAATTTGTGAAGCATTCCATATTTTTAGTGGGGCCCTCTTGTGGAGCAGTGGTAATGTCCCTACCCCTGGACTGGGAGACCTGGATTCAAGTCCCATATGCTCCAGAGGTGTGTAATAACATCACTAAACAGGTTGATTAGAAAAGTAGGTTAAATTTTTAAAAATCGCAGAAATGCTTAGAAGAAAGATTGAAGCCTGAGGGCAGGATGAAACCATTATGGAAGACTTGACTCAAAAGCAAGGAAAACATGTCCAGTATGGACAAAGCAGTGCTCTACATGCAGAAGCTGAATCACATTGTATACCTTGCATTGGTAGAAGGAGGCAAAACATATATATACATAAAGATGGCTAAAGTGCTGGAGAAACTCATTTTCTATAAAGATGGCTGCTGGAGAGTGAACAGTTGATGATTCTGATGGATCAGTATAGTACACCATATAACAAGTTGGCATTGTCAGGTCCAAAGGTGCTAAACAGTTTGCGATTGTTAGAATGATGACTGCAAAAGGAGTGCCTCAAGTAAGTTTGAAGTGTCAGATAGACTTTGTGCAATATCATGACCTTTGCAGACCTGTGTGTCCAGTCTGAAAGACAAGTTAGAGAAGCTAGAAAAGAAGGGAGTAATCAAGGAACTGACAAGTCTTACAGACTGGCTTAGTAGCATGGTAGAAATGAAAAAATACTTATTATGCATTGATCCAAAGGATCTCAATAAAGCTATGAAGAGATCTATCCAATCCCATGCCAACTATTAACAAAATTTTGGCACAACTTGCCATGGCAAGGAATGGTCACTGGCAAGTGAAGCTTGGTGAAAGCAGCAATTTTCTAACTACATTTTGCATGCCGTTCGGCAGATACAGAAGGTTGTGTATGCCGTTTGACATTTCCACTGCTCCAATGAGTATGAATGCAGACAACACATGATAGCCAGTGGCTTTCTAGGTTGGCAACTACTGTGAATGATCTGCTTGTCTTTGGAAGTAGAGACACAGTGGAAGAAGCCATTGAAGACCATAATCAGAATATAATGCCACTGCAAGAGACAGCTCACCAGACTAACCTGAAGTTTAACAAGTAAAAAAGCAGAAATGAAGATGCCTGAAGGCCTGTACATAGACCAATATAATGACAGCAAAAGCAATTCACTCGGATCTTAAGGAGAGAGCAGTAGCAGAAATGTAGCAACCAACACATACAAAAGCAGTGCAACAATTTATTGGATTTGTGAATTATTTAGCAAAGCTCTTGCCTAATTTGCCATCAGAGTGTGAACCTCTGTGCTAGGTAACTGCTAAGGATGTGCAGTGGCATTGGAGGCCAAAACAAGAAGCAGCTTCCAAAACAGAATTAAACTAGGAGTGGTCCACTTCATTCTCTCAGAAATTGATTATCTTGTCACCATTGACAACAATTCTGACTACTGGGAGTTAGACCAGCTGTAGTGTAACACTACACTGAGATTGTAGAATGCTTGTAAGCACACTTTGGTCATTATGGAATTCCAAACATTCTGATGATTGACAATGACCCTCAATTCATGAGTAAGAATTCACATGCTTCCTGAAGGATTAGGAAATTCAACACCGTACATCATCTCCACACAATCCTCAGTCAAAAGGAAAGGTTAAGGCTGCAGTGAAAATCACCAGTGGCATAAGAAAGAAATGAGCAAATCCAGCACAGACATGAATAAGGCAATCCTTTAGTGCAGAAGTACACCTAGTGAACATTTGGAAGGTTATTCATTCCAAAAAGTAATGTCACATCACACCCAAATTACTCTTCCAATAGTGAAAGAACCACAGAAGCTAGAGGCAGTGACAGATTTGAATGACAAAATCGACAGATTGACAGAACGCTAAGCTTCACTTTGATAAAACAGCCAAGTTATTGCTAGAGCTGATCACTGGAAAGTCAATCTGAATGCAAACATTCAACACTCTTAATCAAAGTCACCCACATGGTAATTTTGGATCAGTGTTGTGTGTTTGTCACCTCAATTGTATGCATTTAATGTGAAATATCAGATACATTGTCACAACCCCAAACATCTAGGTACAATAAGAGAAAGAATGCCGTCACTACAGGCAACTAATCAGGAAGATGTGATCTCACCACCTGCATCAAGTACAGAATAAGCAACAGTCCAGCTACGGAAATGGATCAGCTAGGACAGATACCACAGCAAAAGCACTTGCCATGGAAATGGCACTCCTTGGAGAAGAAACATCACCCCAGGAATAAGTAGATGCCAGAGGTACAATCAATGATATTGCACATGTATACCATTAGGAGATCTGTGCAATTTAAAGACTGTATACACATTGCATGTGCAAAGACTGACAAAATAGAACTGACTAGCAGTTAAGAGAGTTCTATTAATACATGATCATTTTCTTTATTGTTCTGAATATTGGGTAACTTGGGTAATTTACAAGTGGAAATCATAGAATCCGTCCAGTGTGGAAACAGGCCATTTGGCCCAACAACACTGACTCTCTGAAGAGTATCTCCCACCCAGATTCACTCCCCTACCCTATATTTCCCATGGTTAATTCATGTAACCTGCATATCCCTGGACCCTATGGGCAATTTAGCATGTCCAATCCACATAGCCAGCACATCTTTGGACTGTGGGAGGAAACCAGAACACCCAGTGGAAGCTCATGCAGACATGGGGAGAATGTGCAAACTCCACACAGGCGGTTGGACTGAAATTGAACCCAGGTCCCCAGTGCTGAGAGGCAGCAGTGCTTACCACTGTGGCGCCCCAAATAATATCACGTTTTCTTTTATGAAAAGTAAAATGTTTGAAGAGATGTCATTATACTTAGTGTACTCAGTGGCTTGCTGGAATCATGTGACCTCTAGCTCTGCTGTAAGTGATTTTATATGCAGTTTGCAGCAGCCATTAAATGCTTACCACTTGAAATATAGTTCTTACCTGAAAATTTCTTCTGGCTTTTGTAGTACACCAACTGACTGTTTTTACAATGTTGTTCTTTTCTTTTCTTATCAAGGTAAACTTGATAAGGTCACGAAAGGCAAAGCCTCTCATTCTACAGCAATCAACAGGTTAGATGCAGGAAGTATGTTTCCCTTTGCTGGAAAGTGTAGAATCAGGGGACACAGTTTCAGAATAAGGGTCAAGTTTTTTGGGACTGGAATAAGGAGAAATTCCTTCAACCAGAGAGTGGTGAACAGTTGGACATTTCTGCCCCAAATGGCTAGTCCAGTTCAGTGACTGAGCATGTTCAAGACTGAGATTGATAGATCTCTACATATTAAAGCCATCTCGGGATATGGAGACAGTGCAGGATAATGGTTGTGAGGTAGATCAGCCATGATCACATTGATTGGCAGAGTGGGCAAAGGACTTAATGGCTTATTCCTGCTCCTTTTTATTCAATTATTCATTCTGAAATGTCTCTGAGCACACGTAAATCTATGAAATACTTAATGCTAACATGCAGGTCCAAAAACTTTGATGACACACTGCTATTTGTTTCAAAATTATAACAGTTTTTAATTCGTGATTGAGCATTTATTCACAGCTTTGAAAAGCAGTTTGCTCTTTTTATTGTTTGCTTAAAAAAGTCCAATGCATCTTCTTTGGTTTGCAGTTTGATGACTTGCACTCCATACTTTCTGACCACCACGGATGGATTCCATCAGTTTCCTAACTTTAAACCAGTGTCGTATCACATTATGTGCATGCTCTTCTTTGTCTGCTTCTTGACCCATTATAATATCATCAAATTTAACTGGTGGTTTCCAATCCAATGTTTTCTTAATAATGCGTGAATAATGTCTCAAAGTATTTATTTTTTCTTACCTGATCACTAATCTCATCACTGTCTTTTGTTAAAAGAAAACTTCCAGTTATTGTTCAAACAATTTCTGATTTCCTACTCTTTATTCATGTTACTGTTTTATATTTAAAGGTTCTCTTCTTGTGTCATCTCTCACCTAAAATAATTTTGTGCCTAACAAACTACTTTTAACTTCATCACATATTCCTGATTTCGTGCATCTCAGAATTCTGACCTTCTGATATCTCCTTTCCTCAATCAACTACTTCTCTTACTTCAGTTACAGTTTCAATTACTTCACCCGTATTTTCTGGCTAACTTTTCTGTCAAAAAACATATTTTGATTCAAAAAGATGTAAACAACCTAATTCCAGTTGAATCCCAGCACTTAATAGAAATATAGAAAATAGGAGCAGGAGTTAAACATTTGGTCCTTTGAGCCTGCTTTGCCATTCAATATTATCATAGCTGATCACCCAACTTAGCATCCTCTGCCCATTTTCTCTGCATGTCCTTTGATCCCTTTAGATCTAAGAACTATTTCTAACTGCTTCTGGAAAACATTCAATGCTTTGGCCTCAACTGCTTTTTGTGGCAGATAATTACACAGGCTGACCACTCTCTCGTCTTAGTTCTGAATGGCTAACCCCATGTCCTTATACTGTAATTCCTGGTTTGGACTTCCTGGTCATTAAGAATATCCACCCTCTGTTTACCCCATCCAGTTCTGTTAGAATTTTATAGGTTTCTATGAGAACATCCACCACCGTGATTCTAAACTTCAATGAATAGAGTCTTAACTGATACAGCAAGATTTCTCTACTCCAATCCTCTTGCTATGAAGGTCATTTGCCTTCTTCACTGTCTGCTACAACTGCACGATTATGTTCAGTGACTGGTGTACGAGGACATCCAGATCTCTTTGCACCTACTCTTTTCCCAATTGATTGCCTTTCAGATAATCTAACTTCCGGTTTTTACTACCAAAGTGGATAACTTCACATTTATCCACATTATACTTCATTTGCTATGTATTTGTCCAGTCACTCAATGTCTAAATCACACTGAAGCATCTCTGAACCCTCCTCACTGTTCCAATAAGTTAACTGTTCATTCTGCAAGCTCCCAAAAGTATGGGTCCATACCTCAAAATAGCTATCAAGCAAGAACTTGAATACGTAGTGATATATGCAGCCTTTGTCTGTTCATGCGATTCAACACCATTTGAAATAAGTTAAACTTAACAATCTGTTGAAACCTACTGTTAAGCTGGTGCACAGAAACAAGTTTTTTTTTATTTTATTCCTACAAGTAATCTGAGTATTTATAGCAGGATCCAGAACTTGTTACCCATCCTTTATTGGTCTTGAAATGAGTAGGTAGCTTGGTCATTTCAGAAGGCAGTTAAGAGTCAACCACATTACTGTGGGTCCGTAGTCAGATGCAGATCAGATTGAGGTCAGATTTCCTTCCCTAAAGAATATTAATGAACCAGATTGGTTTTTATAACAATCAACAATGAGACCAGCATTTTTTTTGAACATTCCAGATCTATTAATTGAATTCAAATTCAACTATTTACCATGGTGAGATACGAACTCATATCTGCAGAGCATTAGTTTGGGTATCTGGAAAACAAATCTGATGACAATAACATGATGAGACTACTCTTTAGCATATCAGTTCCACAAAGCAGTTCATAATTGCATTATCACTGTTGTAAAGAAAGGACCAGATTTATAGGCTCCATGATTTTATTTACATACAAGTTGCAACTTCATTGCAGGAGCTCGGTAACTGCAAAAGGGATTTTTTTCCCTAAGGAAGGCTCAACATTTTATCTGGAACATACACTACTTTATAGAATATAGTTTTTGTTCCTTCATTTTACTGTAGTCAAATTGGGTAATTTACAACTCAAACGTATAGTTACCTGATACATGTGAAGTGGTGCAACAATCTTTCCATTGCCTCAGCTTGTATCCATTTGTTTAGCAAACTGGTAACTTGCTTTGCATAACTATTTGCAATGGTGTTGTATCAATCAGGCTGTGAATTTCTGAAAAGGAACCAAACTTCACACATAAAACCATTCACTGTATTACTGTTACTTTGCTGTTAACCTTGGTTTTTTTTGTCACTGCATCTTAGATCCATGTTGTTCAATATGTTAGCTGTGTGCCTTAATTGGGTTTCAGATGTCATGAATTGCATTCATAAATATTAAACAAAACAGAGCTTAATAGAGGAGCAAATTACTGCAGATGCTAGAATCTGTACTGATAACAGATGCTGGAAATCACAGTGGATCAGACAGCACCCATGGAGAGAGAGCAAGCTGTTGCTTCGAGTCTAGATGACTCTCCATCAGCGCTGAAGATTGATAGACACTGTTGCTGCACTTGTGATATCATAACCTCAGTAAGCCAATTGTACCGCTGCTAGCTCAACTATGTTCATCAGATAGATGACAACCGTATACTGGGAAACATTGTTTGCAGCTCACTGGTACTGGGTCATGACCTTCTGTGTATCTGTACCCTGGCTACATAGCTACTTGCAAGTGAGATATGAAAATGGTTGATATGTACAGGGATAACTGACTGGCATTCTTAATGACTGTAACCTTTGGAGGACAACTGTTTAAAGGGTGATTGGAGGCGTTCATAAACAAAAAGCTCAACTGACTAAGAGAGCCCAAAGAAAACTGATGCTAATGATTTTTTCTGAAGAAGTGTCCAGACCCGAAACATCAGCTTTCCTGCTCCTCTGATGCTGCTTGGCCTGTTCATCCAGCTCTACACCTTGTTATCTCTCAATGCTAAAGTATCTTGCACTTTCTCAGCTCACGATCTTCCACTGCAGCAAATGCAGCATGGAGTGCCATGTTAGATTTTGCCTCCTGACCGACACCAATGATGCTTAAGTAAGCGTTAACCATCACAATGCAAGCCACTATCTTACAAGGTGGAAGGCTGCCATTGAATGGATAGCAGTACTATTCATACATTATATGAGGTCAAAATCACATGACACTAGTTATAGTCTAATAGGTTTATTTGAAGACACAAGCTTTTGGAGTCTTGCTCCTTCTTCAGGTGTCAGTGAGAGAGGTGGCATCAGACACAGAATTTAAAGGCAAAAGATCAAAGGGTGATAGAACTGATGCAAATGTATTGAACAAACCTAAGATGGCTGTTAAATCTTTAATCAATTAATAGGATTAATGTGCAAATCCCAGAATTTCTTTCAAATCACTGCCCCGAGATAATTAAAGATTTTGTCAGTATACCAGAGATGACATCTCAGGTAAGACAATGCATTTGTGAGGCCTTGTTCAGAATCTGCCTGTGTATTAACTTGGAGTCAGACTGGTTTTATTTCCAAAGTAGGAATTTATAAAATGCCACATTGTATACAAATTGTGTGCTGTTTAAACAAAATAGAATGTATCTGCAATTACAAATCTGCAAATGCAAATTCACCCTATTGATTTATACGTGCGTGTGTGTGTGTGTGTACTTGTGAGAGAGAGAGAGTGTGTATGAGAGAGGGCCTGTGTGGGTGTGTGAAGATATTTGTGTGAGAGAGTGCATGTGTGTATGTATGCATGTGTGTGAGTGTATGTGTGAGAATGTATAGTGTGGTGGGGTCAGTTGTATTGCAACATGAACCCAAGATCCCGGATGAGGCTGTCCTCTTGGGTACCGAACTTGGCTATTAGCCTCTGCTCAGCGATTCTGTGAAGTTGTGTATCCCGAAGTCTGCCTGGGAGGACGTTTACCCAAAGATCCAAGGCCGAATGTCCTTGACCACTGAAGTGCTCCCCCACTGGGAGGGAACATCCCTGTCTGGCGATTGTGTCCAGTCATTCGCTGTCATACCATGTGCATGGTTTTACCAATATACCACAAATGTGGGCATCCTTGTTGCAGTGTGTGAGATAAACAACATTGGCTGAGTCACATGAGTATCTGCCATGCATGTGGTGGGTGGTGTTCCCATGTGTGATGGTAGTGCCCATGTCAAAGATCTGACATGTCTTACAGAGGTTGCCATGGCAGGATGTGGTGTTGTGGTCGATGTTGTCCTGAAGGCTGGGTAGTTTGCTGCAAACAACAGTATATTTAATGTTTGGCAGTTGTTTGAAGGCGAGAAGTGGAAGCATAAGGCAAATCTTGGCGAGGTGCTCATCATCTTCAATAATGTGTTGAAGGCTGTGAAGAACATGGTGTAGTTTCTCCACTCCTGGGGCGCACTGATGATGAATGGTACCCTATCGGTTGTATCCTGTGTTCGTCTTCTGAGGAGGTTATTATGGTTTTTTGCTGTGGCGCGTCGGAACTGGCGATTGATGAGTTGAGCATCATATCCTGTTCTTATGAGGGCGTCTTTCAGCATCTTCAGGTGTCTGTCACATTCCTCCTCACCTGAACAGATCCTGTGTATGCATAGGGCTTGAGTGTAGGGGCTGGCTTTTTAAAATATATTTAGGGTGGAAACTAGAAAAGTGCAGCATCATGAGGTTACCCATAGGCTTGTGGTAGAGTGAGGTGTTTAGGTGTCTGTCCTTGATGGAGATGCACGTGTCCAAGAATGAGATTAATTCTAAAGAGTAGAAACAAAACAAGAAACTTGGCATTACCACCAGCAGTAACCAAGCCTCCCCTGGTACCACAGTTGAATATGGTACCACCATGGGGAAATTCATCATCAACTTATCTCACCACACCCTTCAACCAGACAAAATTGAATTTCTCAGCTGAGGGGTCAATTTCTGCACCACCACCAAAATGGAACCCACTGGTCTGCCTGCAGACACAGAGGAATTCATCAGATGAATGAGACTCTGGGAATTCTTCCAAGATGACAGCAGCGAGCCCAGTGAGACAACAAATGAACCAGAACAGTCGACGGAGAAATCTGTGGAGGAGTGGCCAAAGAAGGAGTTGAATTGGACCGCTCTGGAGGGCCATTGCCCTGGGCTTGACATGTATGTTCAAGCCGCCAGGGAATGCATGAATGCCAGACTCATCAGCCCTGCTCATAAGGTAGCGCAAAACATCATCCAAGCACAACGCAATGCCATCCATGCTCTCAAGACCTATCGCAACATTGTCATCAAACCAACAGACAATGGAGGATCTATCATCATACAGAATAGAACAGACTACTGTAAGGAAATATATAGACAACTGAACAACCAGAAATACTATACACGACTATCTGCCGATTCAACCAAAGAACGCACTCGTGAACTCAACAGATTGATCAGTACTTTTGATCCCGTCCTTCAGAGTACCCTATGCACTCCCATCCTGTGTACTTCTCGCGTTGGAGACTTCTACTGCTTCTGAAGATACACAAAGCCAATACAGGTGGATGTCCCATTGTATCAGGCAATGGGACCCTGTGTGAGAACCTCTCTGGCTATGTTGAGGGCATCTTGAAACCCATTGTACAGGGAACCCCCAGCTTCTGTCACGACACTACAGATTTCTTACAGAAACTCAGCACCCACGGACCAATCGAACTAGGAACATTCCTCATCACAATGGACATTTTGGCACTCTACACCTACATCCCCCATGACAACGGCGTCACTGCAACAGCCTCAATACTCAACACCAACAACTGCCAATTTCCAGATGCCATCCTACAACTCATCCACTTCATCCTCAACCATAACGTCTTCACTTTCAACAACAAGTCCTTCATCCAGACACATGGAACAGCCATGGGAATCAGATTTGCCCCCCAATATGCTCACGTTTTCATGCACAAGTTTGAACAAGACTTCTTTGCTGCATAGGACCTCCAACCAACACTATACACGAGATAGATTGATGACATTTTCTTCCTTTGGACTCATGCTGTGGAATCACTGAGACAGCTACATTGTGATATCAACAAGTTTAATCCCACCATCAGACTTACCGTGGACTACTCTTTAGAATCAGTATCATTCTTGGGCACATGCGTCTCCATCAAGGACGGACACCTCAGTACCTCACTCTACCACAAGCCCAAGGATAACCTCACGATGCTGCATTTTTCTAGCTTCCACCCTAAACATATGGACTAGCGCTACACATACACAGGATCTTTTCAAATGAGGAGGAATGCAACAGATACCTGAAGGTGTTGAAGGGCGCTCCCATAAGAATGGGATATGATGCTCAACTCATCGATCGCCAGTTCCGATGTGCCACAGTGAAAAACTGTAATGACCTTCTCAAAAAGACAGACGTGGAATACGATCAATAGGGTGCCATTTGTCATCCAGTACACCTTGGGAACGGAGAAACTACGCCATGTTCTTTGCAGCCTTCAACACATTATCGACGACGATGAGCACCTCGCCAAGATCTTCCCTACACCTACAGTTCTTGCCTTCAAACAACTGCCAAACCTTAAACATACCACTGTTCACAGCAAACTACCCAGCCTTCAGGACAACATCCACTACAACACATGCAACCCTGTCATGGTAACCTCTGCAAGACATGTCAGATCATCAACATGGATTCTACAATCACACGTGAGAACACCACCCACCATGTACATGGCAGATACTCACATGACTCAGCCAACAATGTCTATCTCATATGCAGCAGGCAAGGATGTCCCGATGCATATTATGTTGGTGAAATCATGCAGACACTACGACAACAGATGAATGGACACCACACAACAATCGGCAGGCAGGGATGTTCCCTCCCAATGGAGGAGCCCTTCAGCAGTCAAGGACACTCTGCCTCGGATCTTTGGGTAAATGTCCTCCAAGGCAGACTTCAGGACACACAACAACACAGAGAGTGACCGAGCAGAGGCTGATAGCCAAGTTCAGTACCCATGACATGGCATCATCCGGGATCTTGGGTTCATGCTGCACTACAGGTGACCCTACCACACCATACACTCTCACACAGACCCACACACACATGCACACACACTCTCTCACACAAAGGCATTCACACACACATACTCACACAGACCCTGTCTCATACACACACACACACACACACTCTCTCAAGCATATGCACGTATACGCACACACGTCAGCCTTCCTGCTCCTCTGATGCTGCTTGGCCTGCTGTGTTCATCCAGCTCTACACCTTGTTATCTCAGATTCTCCAGCATCTGCAGTTCCTACTATCTCCAAAGGAACGATCACATTTGACGGAGGGTGAAAGGTAAATATTGAATCCGTGACAGTGCATCCAGGATTCTGTGTGGAAGGAGCAAACACCAACGCGAGCACCTGTAGGGAGCAGAAGGACCAGGATTCCACCGGCCTGAGGTCACGTGTACTGATTGACAGGGCGGGAGGCCAATAGGCAGCGTGGAGAGGTGGGGCACGATGCTGGTTGGCGGAAGGCGTTGCCAGGGGCGGGACGTCCGGTGGGGCGGGTGTCAGTTTGTTGTTGGTGCTTTAAACCTGCGGGGGCTGGAATGTCGTGGTGTTTTGTAATTTCGTTCTGATATTTTGCACGTACATATGTTTATCTATAGCAACCTTAAATCTGAAGGTTGACCGGCTTAGAAGAAGGGAAAAAGATTAAACCATGAGGGCAGTGGCGGGGTTGTTGTTGCTGCTCCTCTCCGTGTTTGCTTTCCAGGGCAGACTCTCGGAGGCGGCGGCGCTCGGGAAGCAGCTCCTCGGCAGCAGCGGCCAGAGGCTGCACAAGAGGAACATCTCCTCCACCACCACTAACTGCCAACACTGGCAAGGATTCCAGAGGAATTTAACAGCCCACACCCACAAGGTGAGTCGCAGCGTGTGTCCTGTTCAAAAAGCCGAAAATGCTGGAGAAACTCAGCAGGTCTATCAGCATCCGTGGAGGGAGAAAGCAGAGTTAACGCTTCGGGTCCAGTGACCCTTCCTCCGTGTGGACATCCTAATAAAACAAAAACTGAAATAATCCACGTATTTCAATCCGTTGAATTTGCTCATCAGAGTATCTCCTTTCTTTCTCTTACCTGACAAGGTTGTGTTAGAGTTTTGTCCTTTTTAACAATTATCACGAATATGCCCAACGCTTGTTTTCCACCTCTCCCCAAATCCCCAAAAGTTTTTTTTTAATTCAATCGTTATATGTGAGCCAGCATTTACTGTCCATCCCTAATTGCCTTGGAGAACGTAGTGGCGAGTTGCCTTCCTTGGCACATGGGAACAGGCGCAGTGCTGCTTGGAGGAAGGGAGAAACGTAAAGCGTCAGTGTAGTTTTAAAAATAGCGCTCAGTGCATCAGAATTAGTAAACATGTTCACTGCAGTCTTTGCCCAAAACAGGCCTTAAAAAATGAACCCTAATGAATGTAATTTTCAAACGGCAAGTCAAGATTTTAATTGGTATTCTCCTGAGCTTTCAGATCCAGCCCGTTTACCGTAGTTTAATTAGGCGTTTTGGATTCTCTCAAACCACCGTTTATTGGGAACCTGCCGTCCAATTTGGTTACCGTCAAGTTCGGGAGAGATGTTTATTGGAGTTTCTTATAAAATGATAACAATTAAATATCCACACTCTCATGATTGGTTTTATGATGCTGAAAATAAAACTGCACTCATGAGAGCAGAAATTTAAGTGACAGTGAGGCTTCAGGAGTGTGTTGATAAATATAGATTGTGAATCCAAACTCTTAAATTTTCAGAATTAGTTAAGCTACATGAAGCAAATATGAAAAGTCACTTTTTTGGATATAATAGTTTGAAAAACATCACTTAAATTTTTAATCAATGCTGATAACACTTTAACGAAAAGTGAAAATATAGGGGAAATTAATCCTGCAACTGTGTTCTTATTGTATGTGCTTGATAACTTCCCTTCGTGAGTTATGCAGCACTTCTGTTGCATTCACAAAACTGTTGTAAATTTGTGTAAGTAGGAGTATAGCATTTCATGTCCTGTTTCTAGTTGGGCATCTCATCTCGAGTAGTAAAGTGTAGAAAGTGGGATGAGTACAGTTTTAGAGATAGTAAGAACTGCCGATTCTGGAGTCAGAGAACCCAGTGTGGAGATGGAGGAGCACAGCAGGCCAGACAGCGTCAGAGGAGCAGGAAAGTCGACGTTTCGGGTCGGGACCCTTCTTCAAGAACATTTCTGAAGAAGGGTACCGACCCAAAACATCAACTGACCTGCTCCTCTGACGCTGTATGGACTGCTGTGCTCCTCCATCTCCACACTGACTTTAAATCTGTACTCAGATATAACTATTTTTTTGGTGTATTCTTGATAGGCTTAAGGGCCTCCTTTGTACTGCATGATTCTGTGGTGCACTGTTTATAATGTAATTACTATTTATCTAATTTGTGTAGCTGAACTCACGTTCACCTTCTTGAACTATCTTCGGTGCTTCTTGCTTGAGATCCTTTGCATCTCTTTTCACCTGAGAAATTTTTCTTCTTGCTATTTTAATGTTTTTAGCTTATTGCTTCTATGGGAGATGCTGACAAGTTTATTTACATTTTAGCTTTCTGTTTAGAAGTAGTAATTATTTTTGTTCTAATTTTAAGAAATTATATTAATGCATTTCTTGAAGTCCTGTCTACCCAGTTGTTAATCTACTTCTAGTTGGTGCTGGTGCCTTAATATTGGCACTGATGGCATACAGTAATCAAAAAAGGTAGGTGGAGGAAACTGGAATAGATTCAAAGCCATGATATCAAACACTTAGTCAGAACCAGCTTTAAATTTTAAGATCAACTTCACTTTGTTTAAATAAGTGGTTTGGCTATTCCTTTACTTTCCCTTTTAAAGTATAGGAAATATAAAATCATAAATTGGCAGAAGATGATTTATTAATGCTTGTGACATAATTTAATACAGTTTAGCTCAATCTCTGAACAATTTCTATTGGGGTTTTTTGTCAAATCATATTTTCCCATGATTAATCCACCTATTCTGCAATTCCTGAACACTACAGGCAATTTACCATGGCCAATTCGCCTAACCTGCACATCTTTGGACAGTGGGAGGAAACCCACGGAGGCACTGGGAGAATGTGCAAACTCCACACAGTCACCGAGGTTGGAATAAAACCCAGGTCGCTGGTGCTGTGAGGCAACAGTGCTAACCACTGAGCCATCGTGTCACTCCAGTTTTATTAATTCACGGGACCTGAGTGTTACTGACTAGGCCAGCAACTATTGTCGAACTGCACCCATCTAGGCAAGTGGAGGGTATTTCATTATGCACAAAAACAGAAGTTGCTGAAAAAGCTCAGCAGGTCTGGCAGCAGCTGTGAAGAGAAATCAGAGTTAACATTCGGGTCTGGTGAGGAAGGGTCTGTTTTTGATTTACAGCATCCGCAGTTCTTTCAGTTTTTATTTAGTCATCCGTCACACTCCTGACTTGCCTTTATAAATGGTGGTCAGACTTTGAGGAGTCCGAAAGTGAGTTAGTGCAGAATTTCTAGTCTCTGATCTGCTTTTACAGCCACAGTATTCACTTGACTGATCTAGTTCAGTATTTGGTTAACGATAACCGCTTGGAGGTTGGTGGTCAGGAATTCAGTGAAAATAATGCCATTGCCTGTCAAAGGTGATGTTTGGATCCTCTCATTGGAGATATTCATTGCTGGTACTTGGGTATTGCAAATGTTAGTTGCCAGTTATCAGACCAGTCTGAATGTTTTCTATATCTTGCTGCATTTGGACATGGAGTGCTTCAGTATCCAAGGAGTCATGAATGGGCTGAAAACTGTGCAGTCATTTTAATACTTGTTCATGGAATGTGGATGTTGCTAGCTATGCCAGCATTTATTGCCCATTCGTAGTTGCTCTGCAGAAAGTAATGATGAGCTGCCTTCTTGAATACTGCAATCCTTAAATCCTCAACAAATATCCCCATCTCTAACCTTACAATGGAGGGAAGGCTGTTGATAAAATGGGTGAAGATGCTACTACTCCTAGGCTGGAATCGAAGCTGGATCGCTGGAGTTGTGAGGCAGCAGTGCTAACCACTGAGCCACCGTTTGTGATTTTCACTCTGCAGGGGAAATGGATCAAAATTTAAGGTTGTGGTCCAGGTTTTTATTGTGATACCACCTATTGTATTTAATGTTCAGCTAATGTCCTGGAGATCTGAATTCACATCTCCCGATGGCAGATGTTGAAGTTTGAATAAGAAAAAATCTGGAATTAAGAATCTACTGACGACTATGAAACCATTGCCAATTGTCATAAAAACCTATCTGGCTCATTAATGCCCTTCAGGGAAGAAAATCTGCTATCTTTACCTGGTCTGGCCTACATGTGACTCCAGACCCACAGCAATGTGGTTGACTCAACCAGCCTCTGAAATGGCCTGGCGAACTACTTAGTTCAAGTGCAGCTGTGGGGACGCAATATGTGCTGGTCAGCCAGCAACACCCATGTCCCATGCATGAATAAAACAAAAAGTATCTGAACTTTGATTGCCATGTGAATGAAAAGCAGCATTGGTTGAGTGTATTTGGCATGTTGGTCATCTTAGAACTTTTGAGGATTGCTAGCAGAATAGCTTGTACAGTTCTTTTGGTATTATTAATTACAGTAATATAGCTTGAAATAGGTGATGCAGGTCAATAGTTTATAAATCACTACAAGCAGAATAAACATGGTTTTCAACATTTCAACAGAGTAACATTTGCTGGGTTCGACTGAACTGTGCGATTTGAAATTTCTGTCACAAAGCTCTTAGCATGGTTCACTTTAAACTGGGCAACAAATGTGTATGCCTTGATGTATCTGATAAGAGATACATGACTGCAAATAGTGGATTTACTGCTGCATTGAAGCAGGTACATCTTTCTGTGTATACTGCTTCAAAAAATTGTCACCTCACTCTAGCTGGCTCACGGGACATCTTGTTTCACTTGTTTGATGTTTCTTAGTATTTAGACCTAATGGCTTGATTTTGCTACTTTTTTTTTTACAATCACTGTTCTGTCAGAATCTAAAATATTTTAAATTAATAGCTTTACTATCGCATGAAGCTGATCACCAAACTTGTGAACTTCTTCCCAAAGGGTTTAGACTAAATCAGAGGCATTGCCTTCAGTAAAAGTCTTGAGGGATTGAATTATCCAAGGCTGCAGTTTTTGTGGTTGTGGTGAGCTTGGTGATCAAAATGTCTCTTGGGTTTCTAAACTTTGCACTATTGGATTTGAATTGTAGAAAAGCTGTTTGTCCTTGAAGGTTATTCATTAGTTTGTATCAACACTGGAGGATACTCCACAGAAAGCTATTGAACATAGCCTGTGAATGAAGTTGTCTGCAAAGGTTTAGCAATTTGAATGCAGCTCTTTCAGAAGTGAAGAATAAATTTACAAT